GTGCCCTTGCAAAATTGCTGAAAGAATGAAGGCTCTAAGCCAAAGCGGGTGGATTGCTTGAGCTCACAAGTTCGAGATCAGCTTGAGCAAAAAGCAAGACCCTCGTCTCTACTAAAAATAGAAAAAAAAAAAGAAAGAAAGAAACTGAGACAAGAGTGTCAGAGCCGCTGTGGCACCCCATCACCGTGTGAATAAAACAGCCAGGACACAGATTAGAAGTACATGCTTGCAAGAGGTGGACTTCCCATAGGTGCAGGGAAAGCCCCAAGTAACTTCTGCTGTGGCCTTTTATGGAAGCATTATACAACAGGTGTGGGCCCTCAACCCCTGCCTACAGGAGCTATGTGCTTCATGCTTGCTATGTGCTCTTTCCCCACGGCTCGACTCCCACTCTGTTGCACCACAAATGTTCAAGGTATAACATCTGCTTGTTAATAAGCAACTGATCTTAACTCATTAATGCATGAAGGGCTTGTCTTTGGGCTGCAAAACACCTCCATGCCGGCTCAGAGATTGTCCTGCTCCCCAGTGCCTCCCTCAAGAACCAGTGACCACTTCTACAAGCCTGGTGCTCAGTCTCCTACATAAGAAGATCACTTGAGCCCAAGAGTTGGAGGTTACTGTGAGCTATGACACCATGGCACTCTACCTAGGGCAACAGCTTGAGAATCTATCTCAAAAAAAGAATGAAGCCTCTGTTTTTATTTATTTATTTTTTTCGAGACAGAGCCTCAAGCTGTCACCCTGGGTAGAGTGCTGTGGCATCACAGCTCACAGCAACCTCCAACTCCTGGGCTCAAGCGAGTCTCCTGCCTCAGCCTCCCAAGTAGCTGGAACCACAGGTGCCCACCACTACACCCAGCCACTTTTTTGTTGCAGTTTGGACTGGGCTGGGCTCAAACCTGCCACCCTCAGTACATGGGGCTGGCACCCTACCCACTTAGCCATAGGCACTGCCCACACCTGGCTATTGTTTTTTTGGCTATAGTTGTCATTGCTGTTTGGCAGGCCCGGGGTGGGCTCGAACCTGCCACCTCCAGTGTGTGTGGTTGGCGCCCTAGCCCTAGTCACTTCAGCTACACGGGCTGAGCCTTCTTTTCCCTTTTTTTTTTTTTTTACAGTTTTTGGCTGGGGCCAGGTTTGAACCCACCACCTCCTGGGGCCAGCGCCCTACTCATTTGAGCCTCAGGCACTGCCCCTTCTTTTGCTTTTTTGAAACAGAATCTCACTCTGTCACCCTGGGTAGAGTGCCATGGTGTCATTGTAGTGTGCCATAGTGTCATCGTAGCTTACAGTAACTTCAAATTCTTGGGCACAAGCGATATTCTTGCCTCAGCCTCTCAAGTAGCGGGTACTACAGGCATGTGCTATTTTTAGTAGTGATGGGGCCTCACTCTTGCTCAAGCTGGTCTTGAACTCCTGAGCTCAAACAATCTCCCTGCCCTGGCCTCCCAGAGTGCTGGGATTACAGGAGTGAGCCACCACACCTGGCCTGAATGTCTGACATCTCAGAAACCCCAAGAGAGTTACTATCTATGAGTCTGCCCTTCTCCCTAGAGGAGCCTGTATACTTCTACATCTGCTGAGAAATCCTTGTGACCAAATCCTAAACACAAAAATAGGTAGAGAATAGCTTTTAGACAACACCCAATGTCTTCCAGACTTCTGGAAGATTCTCTTTGCCACCCCCATTTTTAGCTTCAAAAAGTAAGCTGGCTGCTTAGGGGAGTCTCATGCCTGTAGTCCCAGTTACTTGGGAGGCTGAGACAGGAGGATTGCTTGAGCCTAGGAGTTGGAGGCTGCAGTGAGCTATATGATCACTACTGTACGCCTGGGTGGACAGAGTGAAACCTTGTCTTTTAAAAATAAAAAAGTGACTGGCTCCGTGGTTCAGGCCTGTAATCCTAGCATTTTGGAAGACTGAGGTAGATGGATTGCTTTAGACCAGCTTGAGCAAGAGTGAGACCCTATCTCTACTAAAAATAGAAAAACTAGCTGCGTGTTGTGGCAAGCACCTCTAGTCCCAGCTACTCGGGAGGCTGAGGCAGGAGGATCACTTGAACCCAGGAGCTTGAGGTTGCTGAGTCAGGCTGACTCCATGGCGCTCTACCCAGGGCAACAGAGTGAGATTGTGTCTCAAAAGAAACAAAAAGTGTACAGTTCGGTAGTGTTAGGTACATTCACACTATTGTGCAACCACAGCCTATATCTAACTCCAGAATTTTATCATCGCCCTACAAGGAACCCGAAGCCCCTGAGCAATCACTTTCCAAGACTCCAACTCTAGCCCCTGGAAACCACTAATCCATTCTGTCTCCATGGACATTTCTTATAAATGAAATCATACCATATGTGGCTTTTTGTGTCTGTCTTCTTTCATTTAGTATAATGTTTTCCAAATTCATCCACATTGTGGTGTGTGTCAGTGTTTCATTCCTTTTTATGGCTGAATAATATTCCATTATTTGGATGGATTAATTCTGTTCATCCATTTATCTGCCCATGGACACTTGAGTTGCTTCCACATTTTAGCTATTGCAAATAATTCAGTGGGCATTTTTCATAGTCCTCAGTTTTTCTTTCTTTGGTTTTTTTTTTTGCAGTTTTTGGCTGGGGCTGGGTTTGAACCTGCCACCTCTGGCATATGGGGCACAGGCACCACCCTCTTTTTTTTTTTTTTTTAAGACAGAGCTTCAAGCTGTCACCCTGGGTACAGTGCCATGGTATCACAGCTCACAGCAACTGCCAACTCCTGGGCTTAAGCAATTCTCTTGCCTTAGCCTCCCAAGTAGCTGGGACTACAGGCACCCGCTACAACACCCGGCTATTTTTTGGTTGCAGCTGTCATTGTTGTTTGGCGGGCCTGGGCTGGATTCGAACCCGCCTGCTCTGTTGTATGTGGCTGGCACCTTAGCCACTTGAGCTACAGGCGCCAAGCCAGCCCTTAGTTTTTCAGAGCAGAATACTGTGACTTCTGGAGAAAGAACAGGAAAACAGCCTTGTATAGGCACAATACTGGTCAGATACTTGGGGAGATCTTGCTCTCCTCAATTCTCTGCCTTACCCAAGCAAACACCAGTCATTCTCCACTAATTCAACTCATGTCTGTCTGCATGTCATCATTTTTCCAGCTTCCAGATTCCTTGTCTACACATGGGTTGAAATGTACATGTGGCCCCCTCAAGACATGGTTTGGATCCCTAGGTACCTTAAAAAGACTCAAGTTTCCTGGGATGGCAGAGGACCCAGTACCATTAAAACATATATGTCTCTGAAGGTTACAAGCCAGGAGGGGAGGACAGAAGGCTCTGGTTTGTTTGTCTGAAACTTCGTGGGTTTGTCCCTCCACAGAGCCTGGGTCCTACTTGTCTCAGTAGAGGCCCCCTCAACCTTAACTGAAGCCCAGGTTTCCTTCCCTTTTGCCAGATATCACTTTCCCATGTTGAAATCAAAGGCCTCTCCAAGCCAGATATATTGCCCCATACACCAATGTGTCAGCTCTTAGAAAAGAGATGGTTTCCTGAATAGAGTGAAAAATGAATGAAATGTGAAGCTCAGACTCCTTGAGTCCCCTGACATCCTGGAAAGGGCTTTGACTTGATATGGTGAGGAAAAACAGAGACAAGGGTTGGTTATGTACGGCCTGTAGGGGAGTTAGGAGGCTGTACATTTGAGTCAAGGGAGATCACTGGAGGACTGGGAGGGAGCATGATCTGGCTGCGGTGCACCGATAGGATAGGGGGATGGCAAGAGTGGAAGCAGGAGGCCAGTTAGGAGGCTGCTAGCATTGTCCAGGTGAGAGAACTCCTGTTCCTCCATCCAAATCTGTCCACTCTTTTCCATTCCTTTTCTCATTTGGATAAGCCAGGAACTTGGGAGTCATTCTTGACATTTCTACCTGGAAGCATTTCCTGACCCGCCCTCTCCTGACTCTGTCCAACTCCTATAAGGGGACACTCTCCAGAGTCCTGTACTTCTTTGCAGCACTTGTCACAAGCTCAAATGACTCTTTGCTTTGTATAATTATTTGATCGTGGCAGCGAACCTTCAGTGCCTTAATCATCTGGGAACCTGTCCAAATGGAGCCGTCTGGGCCCCACTCCGGGATTGAACAGGTGCCGGGAAACCTGCGTTATGAAGTAGCAGCCGGGGTTGGACCAAATGCTAGAGTCAACTAGACTCTAAACTCCAGTAGGGCAAGAGAATCGGATAAGGCCAGTTTCGTGTGTTGGTTACTGAGTTCACGTTTTGGCGAAGTCTGGAATTCCCTTTCTCATTTAACTTCTTTTTTTTTTTTTTTTTTCACGTCAGACGGGTAATGTACCAAAAGCGTAACAAGATTTGTGGGAGGCACGTCTCACGCATGAGCGTGAAAACCCAATCACCGCGCTTATGAACTACAAAAGGATCTCTCATTTAACTTCTTCTGGCTTGACTTGGTTTGCAAGAGACTTGCAGTGTCTTGGAAAAAGGGTCAGGATTCACAAAGACCGCAGAAATGTCAACTGCTTCTTCCTGAGCGCTGCCTTCCGCACCCTTGCCTGGGTACCGACTTCAGGTCCCTTTCAGGGATGCACAAACCGAGGCGCAGGTGGCTATCGAGGTCCCAGGGCACTGGGACCCCCCAAGTCGCCCTTCACAACGCGACCCAAGGTCACAGAGGTCCCACTCACAGGGCCGACTGTGCTCGCGCCAGGCCGCTCTCGCCCACGCGCCCGTGCAGGCAGCGACG